GAATGTTTTATTATAGAAGAAATATCATTAATGAATAACAGGAACAGAATCGGACCAGGTGGCTTCCCTGAGGAACTCCTGAAGAAGCTTTAATGCTGTTGGAAGAACATTTGCTAAAAACAACTCTTTGTGTTCTATCAGAAAGGTAAGAAGAGATCCATTGAAGAAGACTTGGCTGAACGCCGATTAGGCCGAGTTTACGGATGAGTAACGAGTGGCATACTTTGTCAAAAACTTTACTGAAATCGGTGTATATTACGTCGGTATGAGCATTTTCTCTAAAACCGTTTGAGACATGAGTTGTAAACTCTAATAAATGATAATAGTGATAGTAGATTCTCCTTTCAAAAACCCGTGTTGATATTGTGAAATTGACGAATATATAGAATAATTTGGGGATAGCGGAGAGCTTTGTTATGCCTCGATAGTTTTCTATAGAGGACCTGCTGCCGTTTTTGTGAAGTGGTATTATGAAAGACTCCTTCCAGGCTGACGGAAAAACGCCATGTTTTAGTGACAAATTTAATAGAGTTGTTAAAGGCTCGCAGATGTTCTCAGCGCAGTTTTTAAGAAAACAGGCCCAAAATGACGCTTTTTAAGTTTTCCAATAGTGTAAAACTACATCGGAAGATATTACTGGAATATAAGCAGAGTTGATTGGACAAAGCTCGTAGGGATAGTCTCCACTTATAGGGAAGTCTACAGACTAATTGGACCTAAAGAACTGGGCAAACATGTTGGCAATGAGTTGGCTGTCGCTAGATACAGTGTTGCGATAATGCACAGCGGACGAAAAACCTTGTACTTTACGCTTTGAATTTACGAAGCCATGCAAAGTAGTTATGCCGCAAAACTGATTACTTTACGTAATCACTGTCTTAGCCCGTTCTTTCATACAGTTTAAAAGAATTTGAGTTTTTATTTTTCAATTTTTTAAGCTCTTTTGTGAACAATATCTTCCATAAAATAAAACTTTGGAGTAAAGGAGCAGCGTATTCTGAATTTCATCAAAACATATTTTTTTTATACATTTGCGCCTAATTCCTTAGAGTGGGTCGACGATGACAATAATCGATTTTGATGTTCTTTCAGAGTTATGCTTTTCTGGTTAAAAACAGCATGTATTCCAAATCGGATAACATTTACCATTTCATCAGCCCACAAGAGCTGTGGGTGTGGCAGTGAGTCGATTTTTACCATTTTCCATATTTCTTCATTCCTAACTGTAAAACATAGCATATAGGAAATCTCAGTAGTACGGTAACTACTCTTTGCGGCAGCTTATATGGGGACGTTCCACTGTGTGGCAGTACTCAATACGTATTTTGGTGTAGATACTATTTAGTGACTCTAATAAAGTCTTCGCTTCTCAAATCAACAAACAGTTTATATACAATTCATTGGGATAAAATACAATGAGAAATTACATTTGAAAGCTTACCCTCTCATATTGATAGAATGAACGACTTGGTCCGGCACGGCCATACAAATATGGATAGTAAGCACCGTACATTACTTCGGGGCAGGACACTGCCATCGTCCAAGTAATCCAAGGACTGAATTTTTTTTTTATAAAATTACAGTTGTCCAAGTGCTGTTTTTACTGTTGTATATGTGTGTGTTTTTTAGTTCGCCGTGTTTACTTAATTTTTTTTTGTTTAATTTTCTATTACGTTTTTGTTTGCTTACTACACATGTGTTTGGTATATTTTCTTTAATTTCACAAACATAATTTTGCTGTGGAATTTTTCAAGTAACTGACTATTTTTTATGTACGTTTTTTTTATGCTTGCAATAATTAACTGTTTCTTAAAACCCACGAAACACACTCTTACACACACACACACACACGCACGCACTGCAATGTGAATGCACGTCAATTTAACATCAATTAAGTACCTATGCACTGAAAAAAATGCAGCACGAATATTTATGTTTCACTGCTATTTCAAGTTGGCTGCTGTGCTGTTATTTACCATTCCATCAACATTGCCTTTTAATGTATGTGTAATTAATACGAGCTGTTGTTATTTTCACTGTTTCTTTTATTTATTTTTATATTGTCTCACTTTTTTTGGTGTTGTTGTTGTTGTTTTACCACCGTTGTTGTGCATCTATTCACTTGTTTGGTTCCGCTGCAATGGCGAATTCCAGGAATGAAATCTTCGTGCCAATAGTTTTATTGCATTTTACATATCGAAGTTAAACAATGAAAAAAAAAA